TTTATATTGTTGTGTGGCACTGTTCGTAGATTATTGTTACATCGTCTTGATAATCATTCTGGTAAGAAATAGCGTGTATGAGTGAAACATTAATTTGTAGCACAAGCCGTGCAAACCCTCACTTCTCTGCAGATAGTGAAAGAAGGAATGAAAATCGTGACTTGTCTCGCAGATGGTGCAACACAGCTTTTTTTTTTTCATTTATTATCTTCTAAACATGAGAGATTGTTAATTACGTCTTTAAAAATACAGATAACGACCAACTATTGATCCAGTGCTGAAGTTTCAAGCTCCTTAACTAATTTATATTGTATGATATTTATTCGGTTTATTTTTATTCTTCCGAAACTGTATAATAATAACAGATGAACAACTTATTTCGTATAGATTAGTTACAGGTGGTTTTAAAAACGAGGTAAATAATATAAAACAACTTTTCAGTGACATACCAGATAAAATTAAGTTTAAAATATAAAAAAAGTGTTAAAACAATTTCAGTAATACTGAATGGTTAATAAGATCTGCCAAACAGTTCGACCTTCTGTACCAACTGTGTGTTGTGAATCGTCGTAGGTGATTAAATACGATCACGTAGTAAGCACGTGGTATTCTGGTGTACTGGTCGAAATGTTTTGCAGATTTATTAACCTTTTGTGTTTTGAACTTTATTTAATCTGGTGTGCTACTAAAAAAAATCCAATATTTATTTACAGTGTTTTAAATATAATGTACTGTACATTTGGACATCCATTTTTTTTACTCGTATATTCGTTTTTTTCTTTTTCTTTTTAAATGCATTCAGAAATTATTATTTAATACAACCTGTCCCCGGTAAGCCGTCTTTACGAAATGTAGTTTTAAAGGCCGTATTCACCATCTAAGAAAGACATTAATGAAAAACGTTTTAATGCAACGTTATGCTTTCGTCATAAACCCCACCAATTAAAAATTGGTTAATTCATTGGCCATCTACCGAAACGGCGCAAGAAGTCGCATAGAAACAGCAAAATGTACTAAACTATTTGTACAGCAAATTTCATCAGCTCGTACTCTATCTACTTATTCTTATTTTCAGGATTGTGTGTTATAGTTTTGTATAGATTATTTTAATTTTGCCAGCAGTGAAAGATCCTGGTGCATGGCTGTACAACAGCAACAACAACAACAAAAAGGTATTGCGTAAAAACGGGTTGTATACAATTCGAATGATTTAACTATATATATATATATGTATGTATGTACGTGTGTGTGTGTATGTATGTGTACTAAATTAACAGTTCTTAATTGACTTCACGATTCCATATGGCTAACTTGTTAATCTGGACCCTTGGTCAACGGACTCAAAGTTAAACTAGTAATGAATGTGGATTTCTCCATTTCGTTTATTTTTTAGTTATGTTCCAAGAAAAAAAAAATTGCTGCTGCTTGTATACAGAAGCTGGGCAGAGTAAACAACACTATTTAATTTTCTTTATGTAAGACCAAGCTTCCACACCCCTCCTTCCTTTTCTTTCTCTCCTTTTTTTTTTCCTTTATATATATGTATATGTGTGTGTGTCTGTGTGCTCGAGCGAGACATTTTGGGGACCGCCCCGACAACAGGGGACAGAAAACCACTAACTGGTCTTGTTCAAACGGCGGGAACACCGGCAGTAAATAGAACGGCCTGACTTACAACAGCCCTTGAGACGCGAATTACCGGAACTACTTTTTTTTTTCCTTTTTTTGTCCCTTCCCCCTTGAATACGAAAGAAAGCGTAAGAAGCTAGTGTTTGAGTTGCTTCACAATGGGAGAAAAATATAAGCCAGCAACAACACCTGTTCAGAGCAGGATAATTTTTTTTTATCTAGTAGGAACACTTAAAAAAAATACGAAAAAAATAGTTAACAGTAGATGTATTGGACTTGCTCGTAAAGAGTAAATGTCCACAGAAAATATTTATTGTGAAACAGCAATAGGTTAATATAATATTTATTATAATATTTCTTTAATAAAATTTTCATTTTTTATATGAAAATTAACGTTATATAATTATTTAATGCTACCGATTTAGAGGCTACAACTTCCCGTACCCCTTTTTATTACATATTTAATTAATATAAGTATCCCAAATTCGATAAATATTTTGAAAAACTAAAGAGTTGAAATGAAAACACTGGTATTTTAAATAATGATTTATGCTATAAGAACAGAAAAGTATTTTTTTTAAAATAAATCATATTATTTAAAATCGTTAAATACATTTTATTCAGTTTTTTATTATTATTAATATTACTCAGCATGTACTTTATAGGAGGAAACCAACCACCAATTCTCAAGTTCAGTCAAAATGGACTGTTTGGGTGGCAATTTATAAAACTAGATAATGCATTTGAAAGAAATTTGTTTGTTTTGAAATTCACGCAAATCTACTCGATGGCTATCTAGGCTAGCTGTCCCTAACGTTGGCCCCCCAGTAGCACAGCGGTATGTCTGCGGACTTACAACGCTAGAATCCGGGTTTCGATACCCGTGGTGGGCAGAGCACAGATAGCCCATTGTGTAGCTTTGTGCTTAATTTCAAACAAACAAACAATTCTAATTACCTTCGAGACCCAAATTTCCAGTCAACTTCGTAATAATTGATATATATGTACAAAGTTGAAAGATAGGCCTTTTGCTAGGTTAGGCTTAAGTTTCGTAATTAAATGTTATTAATTATGTCGTTACTTAGACTGGCTACGTTTATTTATTAAAAAAATTATCGATGTCGAAAAGTGTGCATTTTTTTAAATAATTGTAATTCTGTGTACTGTTGCGTAGTGCTTGTCAAATTTTCAGATTATAGGCACAGTTCATTTGTGCCTAGTTTTAAGGCTTGACCCTCGTCCAAATTTCGTGGACAGTGTTCGTTAATTTGGTTACAATGCGATTTAAAATAGTTTAATAAGCCTACCTGCTGTTGCACAGACGGAATTTATTCACCATTTCACAGGCGGCAAAATTGAGGACACGTACCCCTAACTTCTAACCCAGTAGTGAAGTGCCCCTTTAAGAGAATTTTATATAAGTATCAGAGAATATCTTGCTTCAACCTTGAATTCAATGATCAGGTTAATAGAGCAAATAAGGTGTCCCAATCACTGCCCCCCCCCCCCCAGAAAAAAAAATTGTTCTGCCATCTGTGCACCATTCACACTATTTGGGTTTTTGTAATCTTTTTTTTTAATTGGAGTTTATGTGTAGAAATATTTCCTTTAAGATGAACAAATATTGTTGAAATACACTTTTTGTGAATTAAATTTGATTTTGATGTATTTCTTGCAGTATAATTTTAAAGTTGCATACATACATTAGTTAGACTTTCCTGACATTTCATTTTACAATTTCTTGACTAAAAACGTTAACAAGTGTGGCACCAAACTTATGGTGATCCAATTATTAGATCATTCACCAGTATGCTTTTAGGCTACTCCATCAGTTGGGTTCTGTTTGTCCATAAATTGGTCCTCAATGTTATAAGTGGTACTTGTGTAGTCCAAAAGATATATCTATCTCAGCCAAACTTATTCATTGACAAACCTATTTCAGTGAATATGATACTTGATTAATATAAATATTAGTGCTAGCTAAGCACTAAGCTTGACTCCATTGGCAGCAGTCCAGTATGATACATCAGTGAATGAATATCCAACATTTCTCAACTTTTTCAAAACTAAGGACTGACTTGCTGCCTCTATAAACTGTCATAGAAGTATCATGAAAAACTATTACGACTTACATATGAATATTCTATCAGTGTTTTCATTTTTTTGGTTTGTTTGTTTTCATGAAATCCCATGGATCAGTTAGGTGTTTGTGGTGGACCTACCTGTTTGTGGACCGGTAGTTGAGAAACACTGTATTAGGCTCACTGCTCTAGAGCTACCCAACTCGTGTATAGACCATTATTTAACTATATGGTAGTACATTTATACATGTACAATGTATGGCCATATATCCTCCTACATTCAGATCTTTTTTTTTTAAAGGTATTTTATTACTTTCTAAGTTTTTGTATATACACACACATACTGATATAAATATATATGTGTGTGTGTGTGTGTTCTTTCTCTTGTAAGCTAGTTCTTAAAAACTGATTTCGTTATGAAGATAGATTATTTTTTCTTTAAATAGTGCAGTTTTGTATTTGATGTTGAATATATTTTAAGTATTTGAGTGTCTCTATGGAATGTTATGTTTCATTCTAAGAACAAGGTGTCTTGTTAGGACATCAAAAAGGGACTCATTTAAACAAAATATCAGCTTGATAAGCTTTCTTTGATATAATATTTTGAAAAATATTTGTGTTAAACTTTTATACAGTATTGTTCGTATATACTATTGGCTTCTTTAATAAATATTATGGATAATCTCGAAGCCTTTTTCTATTTTGACAGGAATGGAAAGAGAGTATTCGTTACAACCCCAGCCATTAACAGTGGAAGGAGGAGGAGTAGCTCGTTTTTTGTGCCAAATTAGTGCTGTTCCCCCCGCGGTAATTACCTGGCAACGAGACGGCCAGGACCTACCTCAAAATGAAAGCAGGTTTGTTATCATTTTGTAATAAGAGTGATTTAATTGCCCCTGCGAGTGGTAAGTATTTATAATGCAAACATTCAGTTTTGTTAGGCCTTGCCAAATTATCATAAACCTTGTTTCCCTAGTACTGAAAATTATGTAGTTCCATACATTGGACATCTTGCTTAATACAGATTAAATTAGCTTATACAAAATCATGGAGTCAATTTAAGAAATCCATACACAGATGTATCATTTTAACTTGTAATAACTAATGTCTATTGAGTTGCAGGCTTCAGAGCATGACCCGTGACTGATCATTTAAATTATAATTATAGTCACATGCGAGACATTTATTTAGGGTTCAGGTAAATTTTTCCTTTCCTAATAAATATATTAATTTAATCTTAGCCTAATTTAAATAGCTTCTTGTACATATATTTAATTAATTTTGTTGATAGCGTTTTATAAGCTGATATATATGTTGTATCTGTTAATGAAAGAATAACATTTTCAGATCTTCATACATTATACAAGGTATTCCACGAGAATGAAGATAGCAAAAACCTATAAATTGAAAGTAATTTTATTAAACTTACTAGGTGACAGTGTATGTATGTATAATGAGAAGTAAATGATATATAGCTGTGGTATACACATCTGCATTCTTTAAACTAAAAATAACATTTAAAAACTTGTTTAATGTTAATGCTATTTTTTGTACTTGTAGCTTTTCGTGTACTAGTGAATGTTTCTTTGTGGACTTTTCTCAGATATACCCTGCTGGACTCAGGAATCCTGCAGATTACAGATATCTCCAGTGATGACCAAGGACTTTATCGCTGTATTGCAAGTAACCCTGCACGCACAAGGCCTAGCAGCTATGCTTTGTTAACTGTTAAATCAGGTATCTGTTTTCATACTGTAGCACACTTGTCAAAACTGATTTGAATTTACTGTCAACTGATAAAAACAAAACAAAACCCTGCACGCACAAGGCCTAGCAGCTATGCTTTGTTAACTGTTAAATCAGGTATCTGTTTTCATACTGTAGCACACTTGTCAAAACTGATTTGAATTTACTGTCGGCTGATAAAAACAAAAATATTAATCCTTTTTTTCATTTACAAATAATCATACTTTTGCTAGTGTTTGGTTATATTTTGTTGTTGTTGTTGTTTATATTGAAAATTATGGGGCTTGTTTAGGCAATATAGTAACAAAAAGAAATTTGGAATGCTCATGTGGCCATCTTTGCCACCTGAGTTAATGACTTGGGTTAGCATGGTCAAATGATTAGCATGCCAGACTGCAAATTAAAAGGTCCAAGGTTCGAGTCATAATATGCCACTGAAAATACACTGCTCTTTCAACTCTGGTGGTACTATGTGACACTGAATCTCATTTCTTGAGTAAGAATAGCCTACTAAGCAATGATTGCTGCTAACTAGTTGTTCCTACCTTGGTAAACAGTTCTAAATTGAAGTGATATGTCTGAATCTTGTGATATCCAGCTTGGCCATTTAACTTGGTCACATGCTGCTTTAAGTGTTGCTCTTAAAGTATAACAAATAATACTTATTATTTGGATTAATTATATAAATTTCAGTTTAAAAAAAAGTACCGACTATATTAGGAACTTTTCTATAGAGAAGGAATTAGCTAAGTGATTTAATTATGATAATTATGACTAAAACATAACAATTAATGAAGTGAATATCAGTGCATTGTTATGCAGTGGATTAAATTATTATTATTGTATGAATTATTTGCTTGTGACAGTATTAAAAGATTGATACTGTGTTGTTTCGGTATGTCATATTTGTTGTATATCTTGTAATTATGGACATTAAGTTATAGATGCAATTATGTATATATATATATAAGCTCTAGTAAGATTTCTATATATCTTAGGTATACAATAGAATCTCAGACTTTCTGTAGAGTTCTTTTTTTATAAATTTATTGAATAGGTTGTCAGTCTTGTCAATTTAACCATGAAAAAATTTAACAAATGTTCTTACTATAGCCACTTTAAAGTCACTCCCAATCCAGTTCCTTAGTCTTTCCCAGTCAGTAGTGAAGGTTGTTAATGAAACTGCAGTCCTCGAATGTATGGTGACGGGGAAACCAATGCCTGTGGTGTCTTGGAAGAGAGCAGGTATTTTTTTATAAATTCATTTACAGAATTAAAAAAACTATCAAAGACAAAACGTATTTCTAAGATACTTTTAGTGAATTAGTTTTGTTTTTTAAATTAAGATCTTCTATAGAGGTAACAAAATTTCATCAAGGTTTTTTTATAAGTAATGGTTTAGATTATATAAAGTTTTAAAAAAGTTATCATTAGCAACTTCATAAAAACTTGGTGCAGATAATGTTTATTTGTACATCGTTTTACTATTTTCACGTGTAGATATTATTTACTCCTGCATTTGTTTTTTATAACTAAAGACATATGAAGTAAATATGTTTGATATTTCAACTTGGAAAATTGTTTGCCTACCATGTTTGATCTTGTACCTTCATTAGAAAGCAAACACCACTGTTAGGCATAGAACAAGTTCATAGCTTACAAAAGAATTCAAATATTTGTCAAAAGAGTCTGTTTAATTTACTGTGTTTGGATATTAAATTTGGAAACAGCTTTTTTTAATTTTGGATTTAAATGGATTATTAATTCTTAACTTCATGTTTCTCCTGTTGGACTAACTTTTCTAAAAATTGAAAGATACACAATCCAGTATTTTTGAATTCCAAACAGATATCTTTTTTGAAATATTTTATCAGATGGTAAGAAACTTTCCAATGAACGGGTATCCCTACTTGGACAAGGGAATCTGGTTCTCCACTCTCTCAGAGCTGAAGATGCTGGATCGTACGTGTGCACAGCAACTGTTACAGACTTTGCAACTGGGAAAATGAAATCAGAAATTCAGAGTTCCACATTAACTGTTTATGGTAGGTGTTCTTTTTTTGTTGTTGTTATATGACGTTGTTAAAATAGAAGCTGATGTTGAAATCTCCAGTTATTCATTAGTAAAATATTGCACATGTATATTTGCCTTTCAAAGATATTTAATCAATTAGTGATAATTTGTGACTGTTAATGAACAAACGTCCTAAATTCTGGGAATGTGTTAAACTTAATCAGTAACACAATAAATAAATAATTAATGATTACATAAATCAAGGAAAAAAAAGTTAACTTAAAAGTAATTTTCATTTAAATCAGAGTTGAAGAGATAATCTATAAACACAGAATATTTAGAGTATTTAAGTCATCACTCCTGACAAAAAAGCAGCTAATAACCTTTTTATGGAAAAACGATTAGATTAAAACTGTACGTTAAGAACTAGAGTTTAATTTTAAACACTAAAAAATTCGGGTACGTAGGTTTATAAACAAGTTAAAACTGATAAAGATAGTATCATACAGAAACACAATAAAGTTTTATCAGACTTACCGTGCATTACCTAAGTTATCTTGGGTTACAAAATTAAGTGAAACTCCATACAAATACGGGTTTATATCTAGAAATAAAAGATCTGTGTAAGGAGTTGTCAGATCTGATAAGTATTGATATGTAATATTATTAAAGATAAGACCAGTAACCAATATTAATCTTTTCATCTTCATCAATAATTCCGTTGAATATTAACGGAAAGGTAAATGATTTGAGGCTAAAACAATAAACACCTTTGATTTCAGTGATCTTTACACAGTTTTTTTTTTCTCTTGATAAAAGTAGAGTATTTCATCAACAGTTTCAATATCTTTTATTAACGTTTTGGATTAGTAAATGCAGATGTTTACATGACGATGCTGCTTCTAAAAATTACCACTATTGCACATTGAATGTGTACTTGTGGGTTATGTAATTTTTAATTGTCACCACATTTGTCCAATGTGCCTTTCAACAATATATAAAGAAGTAACTTCAGGGGACAAGCATGGTCTGATGGTTAGGACAGTTGACTCGCAATCTGCAGGTTGGGATCCATCACTAAACATTCTTGCCATTTCAGCCATGGTGGTGTGATAATGTAACAGTCAATTCCACTTTTCATTGGTAAAAGAGTAGCCCAAGAGCTGGAAGTGGGTGGTGTTCACTAGCTGTCTACCCTCTAGTCTATAACTTCTAAATTAGGGATGGCTAGCACAGAGAGTCCTCGAGTAGCTACGTACAAAATTCAACAAACAATCAATCAATCAACTTCAGCCCACAACTTGAACTTTCCTGAATAAAAACTGTAATAAAGCTTTGTACATGATTTTATTATGTTACCTAAGTATCAAGGTTTTCTTTGCACAGTCTAACAAGTTTATCCACCAGAACTTGGGAAGGAAGAAAAAAGTTCTTTCAGTAAACACTTTAGCCGAATTTAGATGACAGCGTATCAGATAACAGACACTTTTGAAGCCATAGACTTGCCATTTCCCAAATGTTCCATATAAAGTGTGTTCAATGGTTACAATGTACATATTTTACCACTAGTATGTGTTCAACATTTTGTGTCCCATAAATAAGAAATAGATTAATATTACGTTCATTAACAATATCAGTTAGAATGTGTAATACATCAATTTTTATTTCGATTATGATAGTTTGAATTTTTATTACAGAGATTGTTTTGCATTGTTAGCATAGTAAATGGATTTTAGACTAATCTGAATGTCTTTAGCTGACTGAACCTCGTGAGATATTATTGGGTTTATAGCCACTGAAAATATCTTTAATAATGAGAGTACCCAACTGACAAAACAATGAATTCTAATCTATATAAATAAGAATTAAAAAACAGTTTATTTGATCAACTATACTAATTACAGGAGATTTTTAGTTTTGATCTAAGAAGTTAGCCTTGCTGCGATAAGAAGGTAACTTTAAGTATTCGCTGTAGATATCATTGATATTTGTATAGAAGGAAATCAAGCTTTATATTGACCAAAACGTATGTTTACGTTAAGTTATACAATTTCACCTATAAAGCCACATTAGCACATTGTGATTGCACATAAACTGATGTTATTGTGCTTATTTGCTTCTAATTGTTTTTTTTTTTTTTAGTTACACCAAGATTTATAGAGCGCCCTGTGAGCATTGTGAAACCCACACCTCAGACAGCTCGCTTCTTGTGCATTGTGAATGGAACTCCACCTCCGTCTGTACAGTGGCTAAAGAATGGAAAACCTATGTACTTAAATGGACGAATAAAGTTTAAAACAGATGGAGAGTTAGTTATTTCTCAGACAATGATATCAGACTCTGGAATATATCAATGTGTAGCAAGTAATAAGGCCGGCACTAGGTCAGTAGCCGCTCGACTCTTCGTAAAGAGTACAGGTATGTATTCTTTAGCTCCTAAAACAACCTCACAATAATTACAGGCATGTATTGTTTAGCTCCTAAAAGAACCTCACAATAAGTACAGGCATGTATTGTTTAGCTCCTAAAAGAACCTCACAATGAGTATGGGCATTTATTGTTTAGCTTCTAAAATAACCTCACAATAAGTACAGGCATATATTGTTTAGCTCCTAAAAGAACCTCACAATAAGCACGGGCACGTATTGTTTAGCTCCTAAAAGAACCTCACAATAAGTACAGGCACGTATTGTTTAGCTTCTAAAATAACCTCACAATAAGTACAGGCATGTATTGTTTAGCTCCTAAAAGAACCTCACAATGAGTATGGGCACGTATTGTTTAGCTCCTAAAAGAACCTCACAATGAGTATGGGCACGTATTGTTTAGCTCCTAAAAGAACCTCACAATGAGTATGGGCACGTATTGTTTAGCTCCTAAAAGAACCTCACAATGGGTATGGGCATGTATTGTTTAGCTCCTAAAAGAACCTCACAACTTACAGCTAACTAAAAATAATGAAAACTGGAATACTTAGGCACCCCAAAAACAGGATTTTTAATGGAATCTGGTGGAAGATTCCATCAACAAGGACCATCCCAGCCAGACTTCGATGTCGGGTTATGATCACCTTAATGTATATTAGAAACCGTTGATCTAATTGGACAGTATTCTCTATGTATTTTGGATATTTCATATACTGTCAGGTAGCCATCTGAAACAGGCCTAACTCAATGACAATTGGTGATTTGAACGACAAATTGGACTTTACTTTTAAGTTTAGCATCTCGAACAGCTTCTCTGTCAAATAATCCATAATTGATGCTACATATTTTTTGAAACTTACATAACTATATGTTCAGTGTAGTGAACAAAAGACAGTTGAAACACCATATTTGTCATACTTTTCAAGAATTCAATTTTTACAGTTCTTGTCAGTTTTTGAAATTACTTTAATGTTAATTATAGTTGGTTATAATTTATTTTATTTTAGCCAATTAGTATAACCTTTCCGAATGTCCCTTATACTGAAAATATATATAAAAATACATTCGAATTACCTCCTTAAATTTCTGAACAAATGTAATTATTAAACTTTTATTTAGAGGAGGTTAAATTGAAAAAAAAAGTAGCCTAAATATATATATATTAAATAAATATTAAGAAGCCATTAACGCTTGTTCGATTTGAGAAAAGATTGTTAAGTAATTTATTTTTCTCTGGTACATATGGTAGCAAGTATGGATTAATATTAAGGTCTTCAAATATTAAGCTACTAATAAAAGATTATTTTTAATTACATCATATATATATCTGTAAAATCTTGTTTTGTGTTTTTACATTTTGTATAACGAGTCCTATTCTATTCATTCAAGTAAGTTTAATTTTGAACAAAAACAATTACATAGAAATTGTTTTTTTATCACTTCAGATATCCACAAACTCAAAAGATTAGCTGTATTTTGTTATGACTATAGTTAGTAGATAGATAAGTTATTAATTTACATTTTTGACCATCTTGTTTGTGTACTTGACCAATTTATTTACTTTTGTACATAAGGTGTTCAACCAGATACTCCACATAACTTGAAAGCTCAAACCCTAACTAGTACTTCAGTCTTACTGTCATGGAAACCTCCAACCACTAACAGCAAAAACATCAAGGCTTATACGGTTCATTTTGCTCCATTTTCAGGTACAAAATGTTTTTATAAGAATTTTTCGTAAGATATTTTAAGAAGTACAATACTCAACACCTCTTCTTACTTTAAATTATTGGATAAAGTTTCCTGTGTCTTAATTGTTTATACATCAAGAGCCAAAACCATACCCAAGGTAGCGCTAACAGTGTTCCCGCACAGAACACCAGACCTGTAGGGGAAGACGATAGGTCTGCACCGAGTAACTAATATGTAGTGATGTGTATATATATGTATGGCCTTAATATAGAATGCGTAGTTAATAAAAATATATTACATTGTGTTATCTTGTTAGTCATTTGATAGAGTAGATTTTTTTGAGAAGTGCAGAATTTATATCGTGCACAGGTGATCGGTACAGATATGCATCAAGCGTACTTGTTAAATCTTAACTCTAAATCAGACAACTTTTAAATTTCACTCTGAGTATGGAAATACATGCATATTTAAAAAATCGCATTGATTCTATATATATTATAGAGTGTAATTCTGACATTAATATGTTACTAAATGTAAAACAGAAAATATAATATGGTGAAAAGCTTGCCAAATTAAAATATTTTTTATCAGTGAACATGAAAACCCAGTGAAGGACTGTTGGCTGAAAAGTTTTTTTGTTTTGTTTTTTGTGTCGCTGATAAAAGTATTTTAATTGGGCAAGCTTTTCACCATTATTATATTTTCTATTTACATTTTATAATTTCAACACCCAAGCAATTCTTTTATTAATTTAATTTATTATTAAACAACAGCCTTCCAATACTGTCAGAGTAATGATCAAGATTTAGAATATTACATAAGTATAGGTTCTCCCATTAAAAAATTAGAATCAGGCTCAAGTCCTTGTGATTCGTTGCATTAATTCATGTGTTGTGCAGTTAAAGGTTTGAATTTTAGTTTGTAAGATTTTTCTGGTGTTAAATATGAGGAAAGAAAATGTTATTTCGGGACATGTTGATTAAATTTATCTTTTTTTTTTTTTTCATTTATGTCAGTTTTATGTTACGTTCCTGTTTGTTGATTTAATGACATTTTATTAATTTTAAGATCGTGAGTGTGTTCAAAAGTGAACTTTACTATATAACTGGCAATTCTAAAATCCTAATAAAGATAACTGACATCTCTAACATTGAAATAATTAATTAGAATGTGAAGCTTCCAAAAAAACATTTATTGTTAGAAAGTAGAAATTAAATTTTTTCGATGAACTTTGCTTATTTGTGACTTTGTAAGCAGGTGGATTGGAATCTCAGGTGGTAGCCGTCAACACTACTGAGGTTATCACCAAGCTTACACCATACACCAATTACAGCTTCTATGTTCGAGCCTACAGTGAACAAAGTGCAAGTGAGCAATCGGAGATTATATATCACTTGACCGGAGAAGATGGTAAGGCTTATCGTTTCACTATGAATAATAGTTAGTCTTAGCTAGCTAATAATATGCTCTGATAATTGTTATAACATCATATAGATAAAGATTTTGGCTGTAAACATTTTTTTGTGTGTGTGATTTTTAAAAGTGATGCTTACTTTAATTTATTATGCTTTTCTTGAATTTTATCTTTTATACTCTTTGTGAGCCAACCTCATTTTTTACTTGCTGCTACCCCTTTCTTTCTAAAAGGAATAACTTTATATTGAATATTTAAAAATTTTCCACATCTGATCAGTGTCTTCAAATAACTCAGCTGCCCAATTCACAACAGATAATTCTTGTTGCATCACTTTAAAATTTGTTTTTTTTAAATTTGTAACTAAAATTACATTATTCCTTTGAACCTAATAAAGCAATGATCACTTGCACCCAGATGTTCCCCAATTTCCACCCTCTTCACCATTTCTGTACTTGAAGTTAACAATAAATCTAAAATAGCATTGTTTCTAGTTGGTTCCATGACTAACTGGTG